CGTTATGGAAATGAAAGCACAAAGATTTATGAGAAAATACAACTGGTACTGTAACCTGTGCCAGGGGCTATGAAAGGCCTTCCTAGGGTTTTACTATGTAATCAGAGATTTTAAGGAAATGAGAATTTAAACCCAGTAGTTTGAATCTTTAATTAAGACTTGCTTGGAGGGTGGAGAGCTTATTCAGAATACAGATTCCTGGTCTTTTTCTGGAGAGAGAAAAGCTCTGAGCTCCAGAGTGTAGGGACACCAACCTCAATATCAACATGGTTTTGCTCAAGTTTCCATCTATTTGAGTTCTGCTTTTTGGCTTAATGCTAAGATTGTCCCGGGATGAGAATATGGAGAAAGACAGGTGGTGGCTGAGTTCTTGACAGTGCAACCACAGGAAATGATGACCTTTGAGGACACGGCTGTGGATTGTACTCAGGAAAAGTGGGCCCTGCTGGACCCAACTCAGAGGAAGCTGTACAGAAATGTGATACTGGAGAACATCAATCATGTGGTCTCCCTGGGGGTCTCCCCTGTGAAAATCAGATGTGACTTCCTGGTTGATGCAAGGAAAGGAGCTATGGAGGGAAGGAAGAGGATTTACCCGAAGCCAGAGTCCAGACAGGAAGGTCTTAAAAAGAAAGACAGAACTTCCATGCAGAATACCAACAGGACAGAACCATCTAACAGCATGTCAATAGTTAGATTCATGAGGGTGAATCCTGTTCCTTCACATTAGAGTGAAGGGAAATGAGCTAAATTAAGAATGCAGCACAATCACGACTGTGATTTGAGGTGAGAGAAAGTGTGACATCTCAGCTCAAAGGTTTGGATCGTTTGAATTTGGGGAGGAAAGGAATAACCTAAGCTCAAAACCATAACCTGAGTTCTTATAAGAGGGCAAGCAAATAAATATAATCAATATATCAAGTACTTGAAACATAATGAAGACGTCAACGTTAATCAGATAGCTATCCAGCTGACCTGCTACAAAGGAGAAAACTTCTGTACATGAAGGAGAGTAACACACTACATGAATGTTACCAATGTGGGAGACTTTAACTGGAGACTATCAGTGAATGCTTGACATCGAATTCATATGTAGAAAAATAAATGAATGCATGAATGAATGTGAGCAAACCTTCAACAGTCTTTTATTTCCTCAGTAACAGAGATTGCACACTAGAGAGGAGCTCTTTGAATATAATGAGTGTAAGGACGTTGTCACAGCTCAGCATCGACTCAACATGTATTAATTCACACTGAAGGGAAACCCGGTAAATGTAATGAATGTGGAAAACACTTCAGCCAGAGAGCTAACTTTTATTCATACCAGAGAACTCACATAAGAGAGAAAACCTTTGTAATCAATGTGGAAATGCCTTCAGTAACCATTTATTCTTTTAAACAACATGAGTGAATTAACACTGGAGAGAAACCATACAAATGTGATCTATGTGGGAAAGCCTTCAGTTAATGCTCTAACCTCAGCCATAATGAGACGATGCGCACTGGAGAGAAGCCCTACAAATGTAAAGAATTGGAAGAGGCTTAAGCCTCAGCTCTAACCTTTATAGACACCAGAGAGCTCCTCACGGGGATAAACCCTACAGCCTTCAGGCAAAGCCCAAGCCTTGAAGTGCAGAAAAAACTTAGATTAAAACGGGAAAAAAGTGACAAGTCTTTACCAGGAAGAAGCAGCCTGTTAGGAAATACAAGATAATTCATGGTGAAGAAACAATTCAATGAAATAAACATGAGAATCCCTTCTCTCATGGAACAGCTCTGTAGGGTTCACATTAGTCGTGAATGAAAGTCTTCAGTGATTATATATACATTAGTCAACCTTAAAGTTCTCACATTGGGAAGATTCCCACACCTCAAGTCAATGTAGAAATGGAGTTTACGTAACTTACGCTGGAAAAAAAGCTCTATCAAGAACCCCTTAGCACTCTGGGAGGCCGAGGCAGGCGGATTGTTTGAGCTCAGGAGTTCAAAACCAGCCTGAGCAAGAGCGAGACCCCGTCTCTACTAAAAATAAAAAGAAATTAATTGGACAACTAAAAATATATAGAAAAAATTAGCCGGGCATGGTGGTGCATGCCTGTAGTCCCAGCTACTCGGGAGGCTGAGGCAGAAGGATTGCTTGAGCCCAGGAATTTGAGGTTGCTGTGAGGTAGGCTGATGCCACGGCACTCACTCTAGCCCGGGCAACACAGTGAGACTCTGTCTCAAAAAAAAAAAAAAAAAAAAAAGAACCCCTTAGCACACAATTCGACAAATAATTTAGACTTTTGTCTGATGACATATTACTGGAAAAAAATGTAGCATAGAAGTGTAGAATTGTGATGCTTTCTTGGAAATATTGAATATAGAATTTGGTAATACTTAATAAGCAATGAGATAAACCCCTCTTTAATAGATTAGTCCTAGTGAATATGTATGCAGTAAAAGTTGTTTACAAAAAATGTAATCCATTGATATTGATCTTTTTAAAAAACCCATAAAACATTATGCTGAGTACTTGGGCCCTTTTTCTTTAATATTCCATCACTGTTATCAGTTGATCAGTTTCTATTTTTCATACAGCTCTAAACATATATACAAGATTCTGTTCAATCAGAAAATAACTTTTAATGTAACTGAAAAATGTAGAACACAAAGTGATGTGTTCTGTTATGTTAGTGCAGAAATATGTATCTATATGGCAAGGGTGAATGGAAACATGAACAAATATCATGACAGTATCAAATATCCTAGAAGATCTGGAAGCAGGTAGTACACAGGCCCATACTTTATGAAATACCAGAAAACAGACGAATGCCCAAAATTGAGAAATATGATGCATACAAGCACTGAATCAAGTGTACAATATAACTGAAACGTTGAGTACTAGTGGGAAAGAAGATATGAAAGCCTTATATGCCTTTTTCTTAAAGGCAAGGGAAAACCACTGGAGGGTCTTAAGCAGCAGATAACATAGTGAGATTTTTAGAAGAGCACAGTAGCCACCATGTGGAGACTGTTGGCTGGGAGTGGAAGGGAGCAAAACTGGAAGCAGGAGTATCATTTAGGTAACTACCGCAATGACACAGACATGACATGATGGCCTGGACTAAGATGATGACAATGAGATGATGGCAAGAGTAGAGGACAAATTTAACCAAATTGTAAGTCGTATTCTCTACAAGACTTGGAGATTGATTGTTGAGGGAGAAGGAGGACTCAAGGGTGACCTCTTGGTTTCTAGCTTGGAAAACCATCCAGGGTAGATGGAGGTGCCTGTTACTGACACAAGGAATACAGGAGAGCCAGGTTTGGTAGAAAAGGTGAATTCAGTTTTGGAATGTTGAGTTTGTGTTTGTGAGATTTTCAAGTCCAGTGAATAATTGGATATATGGCTATTAGTGATGTTTGAAGTCACAACTGTGGAAGAGATCACCCAAAGAGATTATGTAGTATGTGAAAAGCAGACTGCAGAGGATCAACCCCTGAGAAACACCAAAATAGTGGAATAAGGGGAAGAAGAGGAAACTGCAAGTGAGTCTAAAGGAAGAGAAGACAGGGCCTCAGAAGCCAAGGGATGGTGGAAGTGATCAGCTCTGTCACATGCTCTGGAGAAGCCTTGCAAGCAAGGGACTGGAATGAGTCTGTTGGAGTTAATGATGTGGATGTCATTGGTGATCTTAACGAAGACTGTTCCAGTAGAACAGTGGGCGTAGAGACCAAAGTGCAGAGCAACCAGAAGTGCAGTCAGTACGCGTGAATTCCCTTCCAAAGAATCTCATGGGGAAGGGAGGAGAGCTGTAAGGTGGAAGTTAAAGGGATGCTTGAGTTGAGGAACAGTTTACTGTAGATGGGAAATATAGGAGCACATTGAAAGGATGATGAGAAAGAGCCAGCAAAGAAGGAAGAATTCAGTAAAGACTGGAGACGGAGGAGATAATTGGTAGAATAAGCTGAGGAAAGAGAGGATGAGATCTGGAGCACCTATGTCATTCTTCTGTAAGAAATTGATTCCTAGATATCAAAAATTGTTACTGTGTTCCAGCCTCTAACCATTCATTTACCAAGCATTTATTTAGGGCTCTCTAGGTGCCAGGCACTGAGATAACCCAACAGTTACAAAGATAAACGTGGATCTCAATACCTGGAATTACGGATTTTTTATAAGTTCTTTTAAGTAACACACAAATATCCTAAATACCATTGATCTTATTTTCTCACAACCTTCAGTAAATACTGTTTGGGAGAAGGTAGACTTCTAGTTTCTAACCACAGTAGAATCCATGTTTTAATGTTTATGATCAAAACTGTTGACAAACTTTCAATTTTTAAAAAATCTACGTAACAGCTACTTCCCAATATTTACCTTATCCCATTTTCTTCATCTGATTACTTTAAGTTGTTATATTCCTTAAATCCTTTCTGATAGGCGCTCAGTAAATATTTGTTAAATGTAAAAACACATTAAAGTACCCAGACATCTGAATTTATTGTCACTCTTTCTAACTCCCACATTTGTTATAAAGACATAACAATACATGTGGTGCCCTATAAGACATATTACATGATTTTTAATGTTAAATATAAGCTACCTGATAAAGTCAATAATGAAATATATGTTTGTCTGGCTCTTACAGTAGAATCTTAGATTTCTTCAAATCCTGCTACTAGGGCCAGGGCTTCTTCGCATCCCATAGTTGAAAAGGAAAACAATAATGTTGTTAGCGCAAAGGCGAATCCATTGTGTCAGCTTACGTGAAAGGCTCTCCCCTTCCTAAATCCCACCACTCCAGATCTGGGTGGGTGTACTATTCCAGAAATAGCTGTCCACATTACCTGCATTCTCATGGATCTAGATCATGTCTGGTCCCAAGAAATCCACAGTTTCTTTGTAATGGTCTTTCAGAAAATATGCCTACACTTAACAAAAGTCTATTTGAAAGTACTCGAGTATCAGGATGAATGCCTGAAACTTCATTGTTTATTTTGTATTTTCTTTATAGGATAAAGAGGCACAGCAAGAGATAAAAAAAATAATTGCTTCCTTGAAGAGGTAAATAAAAGAACTTACTCTTCAACAAATCAGATGTGGTCTACTAAAATTTAAACTAATCAAAATTGAGTTTTTATTATCCCTTTTTTCTTTTTTGATGTAAGGGTAAATGTGCTCAGATTTGAAGGTAAAACCATGTTTCTCCAGAATGCATTCCACTAGTAGCACTACAAAACTAATCATGTTATTTGG